ATCATAGTGTACACATGTCAAAAATAGAAGTAACAGTTGTTTAGACAACCAGTTTTATATTCTAGACATTCGATACTGTTCATATTAAGCACTTGCATTTTTTTATTAACCTATAAATATAGGTTTTGCAGATGTAATTGAAATTACTCTCTTTTGATCTGCATTACTCTAAAACCACAGAAATCAGGATTTTCATAAAGATGTGCTTGGGGCTGAACTCAGCTTAGTCCTAGTTGGTAAATTACTGTTATGAATTGTGAAAGGTGGTATTAATTGCCACCATGTTAGCAAAAGTAGGACTCTTTACCTTGGGTAAGATTCTGATTCAGGTACCTGTTAATTTTGTTCTTCATAATTTCACTTTTCTTCTGTGTATACATTGTGTGGGTGCGTTTTAGGACATCCCACTCATTCAGTCAGAGTGCATACAGATTTAGAAACTGTGACGTTGAGAATTTTTTTCATGTCATGACTGAAGGCCAAGACACTCTCTTCCCCTGGTTTGTGCTTACTTTATTAGTAATGTATAGTGGCGGAGTTCAATGATTGATTTCTTTAACATGTTCAAAGTTCTTCAGAGTTTTGTGCTGCTCTTATGAAAACACTCTCCTCCTTCCTCGTGAACTCGTCCTTCTTGAGTAACAGGTAGAGGGTGCATGTGGGAAGGCTTATTGCCCCGCTTTCGCTCTGCAGGCTGTGACGTGACTGGATTCAGAACTCTTTGCATGGTTAGTTTGGAACAGTGCCATTCCCACAGCACCATTACATAAAGTCATTGCGGGTGGGGAGTGTTGTGGTGGTTGTTTCTTTAACTATGGAAAATCATGGCATCTAGCACATGTTCTGACTAACAGTTCTTTTTTATAGATCTGCAGTTTATGCCATAAGGCGCTTGAGTTGCTAAATTAACAACACAGATGCCCTATTGCTCTTTAAAAGACTTATTATAGTATTGAAAAATACATACCCTTCATTTAATCTTGAAGTGAGCCTAAGAATTTGAGAGTAGTTGCACCAAGTGCACTCTCCATTTCTGATGGAACACGTGCAATTCTCCTTTCACATTTCCAGCAGTTTAAATCTAGAGGAACACTATGGACAAGTATAAATTTTGCTTGTGCAGCCTCAGTACATGTAAATCTGAAGATGCTCAGATACCTTGTGACCCTCTTTCTGTACCTGTACCCTTCCCACTTTGGTTGTCTTCCTTTTGTGTTGTTTTATTGTTACACTTCATTTTCTACTTTTTCTTTTTAACCCCAGTTCTCTTTCTTTTTAGTCTCTTTCTATCTTTATTTACTGTTTAGATGGTTCCAGGCTTAAGGAGAAGATGATTCTTTTCTCAAGCAGGTAGACTTGCATGTCCTGTGTGTGCCTGATTTTCTACTTTTTTTTTTTTTCCCCTGGTCTACATTGAACCTCACTGCTATATTGAATGATTGTCAAAAATGTGGACTTACTCTTTTGTAACCCTGGTGTAATTCTTCCAGGTGAGGATGGGCCATCTCAGATGGGACTGGAGGATCTGTGCATGTTCCGGGCTGTTCCCACTGCCACTGTGTTTTACCCTAGCGATGCTGTAGCTACTGAAAAAGCAGTGGAAATAGCTGCCAACACCAAGGTTTGCATCACAGTATTTCTGAGCTAGAGAATTTTTTTTTTTTCTTTTTAATTCTTTTGTTGCTTCTGGCATGTTTCTTGCATGTGTCTACCCACATAAATTCTTTCAAAGGCTGTAGTGTGGCAGTGGGATGTTTTCTTTGCATGGAAAGGTTGCAGGCATTCTGTCCAGGCTAGTGTAGAATGAACAGTCTGGAATGCTGTGGGCCAGATTTGGGGCGATGTAAATGATTACACAGCAATTGTAGTTTGGGTCTAAATTGGCTCAGAAATAAGGGCAAGTGTAACTTCCTTGTTGTCCTTTAGCAAACTTACCGGAAGTACACTTCTAGTATGATATCTCTGGGGTCAGAATTGAAGCTGGATATGGAAAGGTAAATTTATCTTGAGGATTTTGATCATCGTGCCTGTACGTGAAAGCTCAGGAGTCAGGTCCTTTAGTAGTCTAAGGCAGTCTATGTCTTTTGGAGATACTGAGAGCTGGTGCTTATGCTAGTTGACAGTCTCGCTGGTCATCTTTTGCTCCTCTGTTGCCAATGATGGATTGCAGTTAAATTGGACTGTGGCTGAAGACAACTAAGACTTCCCATGTGGCTGTGACAGTTTCTGGTCTATCTTACCTTCAGCTAATTTGACATAGTAATGGTCAAACATCACTGGTAGCATTGGGTCAGATCATCTCCTTGATCGGTACTTTTTTCAGCTGCCATAGGAATTTACCTTGAGAAAGGAGCAAATAATTTGAAAAATTTCAATCTTGCTAGTACAGCAGTTAAGTGAAGGAGTGTGGAAATTTGGTATGTAACAGATATGATGAATGGTTTGTGAAAAAAAGATTGGGGGGGCAGTGTAAGGTAGTGTGAGGGAGATGTTAGATTTAAGTACTGGTTTGTTACTTCTTTTGGAAGGGCATCTGAATGTTAACCGATGGAAAGGATTTTTCCTTGCTTTCAGCTGAGTATTTCTTCTTTTGCTTTAAAGTCACTAGAGTAAAATTTGCACATGTATGGCAAAATTTTAAGATTGTAAATAACTCTATTGGGATTTTCTATTTCCACAAGAGAACAAAAGAGAAATAAAGATCTTGGAATCAGAAAGAAAATTGTAAGTTATCAGCATGCTCTAAGAAGAGGTTAACTGTATTGTAAGGTCTGAAACAACCAGCTAATGAAAAAGGACTAATGGGAATTGTGGGGGTGAGGAAGAAAAGTTTACTCAGTAGAACCAGAGATCACATAGAAGGGTGAAAACCAGGCAAATAGAAAAAGTTGTTTTGCTGTATATTTTTCATAGGGTTTACAAACTAGAATGTCAACACCTTTCTGGTTTTGTAACTTATAACATGTTTACTTCGGAAACAGGGCATTTGTTTCATAAGAACTAGTCGTCCTGAAAATCCTGTCATTTACAACAACAATGAGGACTTCCACATTGGACAGGCAAAGGTAAATATTGCCCAGATAAGTAGAATCAGAAAAAATATGCAAAGTTCCTCCTGTAAAAGCCCCTTTCCCGCTAAAGCATTCCAGTGCCAAAGATTTGATCTTTTTAATGAAATCTCCAGAAATGTTAGAAGTATCAATAAGATTTGTTGTTAAAAATACATGGAAACATTTTCTTGCAGGTGGTTCTGAAAAGTAAGGATGACCAAGTGACTGTGATTGGAGCAGGAGTCACTCTGCATGAGGCTCTGGCTGCAGCAGAGCAGCTGAGAAAAGGTGATCAGATTATGGTTTGGGTTTTTTTTCCTTTTTAATCATTTAACACAGCAAAGAAATCAATACCACTCAGCCTAACTGTTCACCCTTTGTATTGGTAAACATTAATTAAAATGTTACAGACAACTGGTCACCTGTTAAGCTGATAGAGTGCAACATAGTATACATCTGCCAAGCTTGCCTAATTGAGTAGGTTTTAGTTAGCTTAGCAGCATTAGTAGCCATGAAAATTGCCAAACTGATCAGATCAAAGTCTCCTTAGAATTACTAACCTGTCTGAAAGTGCCCTGCAGGCAGAATCTTAGAGACAGTGTGTAAGAAGCAGGATTGGTTCTTCCTTGGCATATTGTCTGGGCGGGCTAGGGTACCAACACAATAGAATGCAATCAGGCTGGGGCTGGTTAACAAAATACAGCTTGTCAGCTGAGCTACAGCAACTGTGTGTGCTCTTACACAGTGCTGTTCATATGCAGTGCCTTTGTGTAGATGTGGTTCACTGCTAACTTGGTTTTTTTGAATGAATGTATCAACTTTTAACTAGTGTGGGAGGCAGTAATTCTATGATAGTGCTCAAATGCACTGGCATTTCACAGCGAAGATAAAAATCCTTCAATGAAATAAGAAGAGAAAGAAACCATCAAAAATCCGTCTGTGAGTCAGTAGCCTATGCCCAGGAAAAGATTACAAATAGTAAGAGATAATACAATTAATGCTGCCTGTGGCTTACGGGTAGCTTTGTATGCTGTATCTAGGTGGACAGATATTTTGTCATGACCTTAAGCCATCATGCTTAGGACACTTTGAAAGTTGTATTTTCAGAACTATTGTTATTTTTCTGTATTTGCCATGCTTTGTGATGCTCTGCTGATCTTGAAGTGTGAATAACCAGCTATGGAGAGATAATCCCTTAGTGTAGGAGCAGTGTCTAATACCTAAAATATATTGGTCCGTAAAGAGCCTTCAGTCACAAAACTGTCAACATAGGGCTTCTTTATGTATGATAAGCGTTGACTCAGTGTTCAGCTAGCCAAGATCAGACAAAACCTCATGTAATTTGCTGTTCTTCGTAAACAATTGCCCTTTGTACATAGCTTTAACAAGCAATCTGGGCCTGCTTTGTGGTGACAGGACAAATTCTGGTTTTCATGCCAACCTTAAGGGTGCCACAGTCAGGGCTGGGGCAGTTCAAATAGGCATACCTGATAAGTGGGCAGCCTGCAGTGAGGAATTCAGAATGCCTGCAGACCGAAGAAGCAGGAGGAAATTGTGCTTGGCTTGACAATAAAGGTAAAATAAAGTCTGGGAAAAAAAATTGTGATTGATAGTCTGAATAAGAAGGATTTCCTGGTGACTAGATTGTGTTCTTACCTGTGGGAAGACCAGTTAGATTACTGTTTTGCTGACAGGCACTCATAGTGACTTTCAGTCACTTACCCAAGGCTTTTCTGCCTCAAGAGTTTTGTGTGTGGAATGAATGGATATCACTATTTCATAACGTGCATGAAGAAATAATACATACAAAAATTAGGGTTGGTTGGGTTCTGTGGTAGAGAAGCCATAGGTATAGGGAGTTAGTGTGGGCGGTTTTCATAATGTCTCTAAAAGGGCACAGGGGCTGCCTGTACCACTTCTGTTGTCTTGCATTCTCCAAATTCATGTTGCAAATAATTTCATTCTCTTTCTGCAGAAAAAATCTTCATCCGTGTGATTGATCCCTTCACTATAAAGCCCCTGGATAAGAAGACAATACTTGAAAATGCAAGAGCAACCAAGGGCAGAATCATCACTGTTGAGGACCATTACCATGAAGGTGAGCTGGGTCCAGGAGGTCACAGCCCACATAGTTGTTGCCCAGGGGTTGGAAGCCCAGAGTTTCTCCTGAGCTGAGAGAGAAGTATAGGACCTGATGCTGTCATTCAGTTAAAGCAAAAGAGAGGTTTTAGCCTTTTTCGTTGCTGTTACGAGTATAAGATGACACCGAGGGTTGAAAGTTTCCTAAGATATAATGGGTTAATCAGGGCTGCCTTTCTGATTAACGTGGCCTTGTGTGCCCTTCTGTATGCTTGGTCCAGGTGAAGTCTTGATTCATTTGTGCCCAGTGAAACTGTGAACTCCTGCTGCAGTGCAGTGATTCTGCAGAGAATGGTCTCAGAGTGGCTTTACAGCAGCTTCTCTGCAGTTTGTTAAATTGCAAGAGAGACCATTAGTGTGCAGCTTTCTTAACTTTGCCATGTGTCCAAAAGATTGATTCCAGGTTGCTTGAAATCAGATGGTTTTGGCAGTTTCCAGTCACTCTGGGATAAATTCCTCTTTCTTTCTTCTCCACTACTATAAAAGAGCAGATCAGGGCCTGTGAAGAGCTGGAGCACTTTACATCCTCACTGGAGTCTTTTTTTGTTCCTTCATTTCACTTGCTTATGGGCCATTTCAGAATCTGTTGCTGGTATGTGGTAGTGTTCTTAAGCTAGGGTAGAAAGTGCATGATGGATGCAAGAAGGAATCTAAGATGATTCCCAAGTAAATCTTAAGATAAATTGCTTCTTGGGAGAAGCAGAGTGGCTCTGTAAGACTCCCCCAGCTTCTGTGCCAGGATTTTATTTAGAATCTAGAATCATTTAGGTTGGAAAAGACCCTTAAGATCATCGAGTCCAACCGTTATCCTAACACTGCCAAGTCAACCGCTAAGTAAATCACATCCCTAAGCGCCATATCTACACATCTTTTAAATACCTCCAGGGATAGTGACTCAACCACTTCCTTGGGCAGCCTGTTCCAGTGCTTGACAACCCTTTTGGTGAAGAAATTTTTCCAAACATCCAATCTAAACCTCCCCTGGTGCAACTTGAGGCCATTTCCTCTTGTCCTATTGCTTGTTACTTGGGAGAAGAGACTGACCCCGCACACACACTACAACCTCCTTTCAGGTAGTTGTAGAGAGCAATAAGGTCTCCCCTCAGCCTCCTTTTTCTCCAGGCTAAACAGCCCCAGTTCCCTCAGCCGCTCCTCGTAAGACTTGTGCTCTAGAGCCTTCGTTGCCCTTCTTTGGACACACACCAGCACCTTAATGTCTTTCTTGTACTGAGGGGCCCAAAACTGAAAACAGTATTCAAGGTGCAGCTTCACCAGTGCCAAGTACAGGGCGACAATCGCTTTCCTAGTCCTGCTGGCCACACTATTCCTGATATAAGCCAGGATACTGTTGGCCTTCTTGGCCACCTGGGCACACTGCTGGCTCATGTTCAGGCGGCTGTCGACCAACACCCCCAGGTCCTTTTCAGCCAGGCAGCTTTCCAGCCACTCTTCCCCAAGCCTGTAGCGTTGCCTGGGGTTGTTGTGACTGAAGTGCAGGACCTGGCACTGAGCCTTGTTGACCCTCATACGGTTGGCCTGGGCCCATCGGTCCAGCCTGTCCAGATCGCTCTGTAGAGCCTTCCTACCCTCAAGCAGATCAACACTCCTGCCCAACTTGGTGTTATCTGCAAACTTACTGAGGGTGCACTCGATCCCCTCATCCAGATCATTGATTGATAAAGATATTAAACAAAACTGGCCCCAGTACTGAGCCCTGGGGAACACCACTTGTGAGTGGCCACCAACGGGATTTAACTCCATAATCTGCTGCTGCTTGCTCTCTGACATGCCTTGTTTGCACAGGTTTTCAGGGGCTTGCCTGTGCAAACACGTCCCATGCAGATGAGACCATATGCAAACAGAAAGCAGCTGTTGTGCATTGCATGTCAGGCTTGCTCCTCTTGGGGGGAGGTGGAGAAATTAGCAGAAGGGCAGCTGTGAACTATGGCATTAGTAGATACTGTAGATACATACTAATAGAAATTAGTAGATATTATGAGAATATTATCCTACTTTAAGGTGAAGCATCACTCTTGCCAGGTACCTGAAGTGATCTGGTATTACCATAAGTTCTGGTTACACCATACTTTTGTTCTGGATTATGGATGGTGATAGCATCGTTGAGCCTCATCATTTTCTAGCTTGTCTTTCAACCCTGGACAAATACTTTACTGCAGATTTGCAAGATGGCAAAATCATCACGCCCTGGGGTGTTGAACACACGATTTACACTGGCACAGCTTTCTCTGGGTGATGCAATCAAGGAAGGTCAAGTATACACACATCACAAGCCTGAATGCATTGCAAGCCCACATCAGGCTGATCTTAACAGCGCATCCGTGGAGGTGCCTCTGGCTGGAGGCTAAGTTTAACTGGTTAAATCATGCCGTGCCTGGAGCCGTGAAAAGCCCTGTGTAGCTGGATACACCCTAACTGAAGTGCAGCACCAAGGTGTCTCTCATATCAGGTCTCAGAGCACATGTTCTCAACACTATTCCTGTGTTTTCTTCTTCCCTAGTACTCCTGCTTCCAGTGTCTCTCCTGCCACCACACAGTTCTTCATTGCATCCTTTGTCCCTGTGACTGATAGTGATTCAGTCTGAGCTGAGCTCTTAGCAAAGGTTGTGAATATGTTACATAACTCAGAGAGGTGCCTAGTACAAGCACTGTGAAAAGATGGAGCTCTTAAATGCTGTTGAGATTGGTGGGAGTAAGACTTTCAGCGCATTAGGTACACTAGTAAATACTTCTCAGTCGAAATATATTTTTAAACCTGGTCCTCAGTGGCTGATGCTGAAGTGGTGAGGGCTTCCTGACAGTTCTGTACCCTTTAGAGGTGTATGTTTCTTATGGGCAATGTGTAAGTTCTTCAGAAATGTCAGGCTGGTTGTCCTCAGAATGCCTTTGAAATAGGGAATTGTTTTCCTTTCACAAATGGGTAACTCGGACATATATTGGTTTTTCTCATAAGCCTGTGAATTGAGGATTTAACTTGCATGGACCTTTGAATCAGGTATACATGCAATCTGTATGTTGCCTCTTGAAGCATACAGATACATGTTGTGTTTGACTTTTTTTTCATAGGTGGCATTGGAGAAGCAGTGTGTGCTGCAGTAGTGGGTGAGCCTGGTATCACAGTCAATCGCTTGGCTGTATCTCATGTACCACGCAGCGGGAAGTCAGCTGAGCTCCTGAAGATGTTTGGCATTGATAAAGATGCCATTGTGCAAGCCGTTAAGGTGGCAGTATCCAAATCAAGAAATGCGGAGTAGGTTGAAGCATCTTGTGCTGTTACAGAAACGCAGTGTTCAGAGAAGTACTGTAAGTTTAAGGCAGGCAAAGGTGCTTTATGTAGAGAGTTCTAATAAAAATACCAGCTTAAAAAAACTTCTGTCTTTTAATCTCTCTTTCTCTGTGGGGTTTTGTGCAGTGGGGTAACATCTGAATGTTTTCAGTCATTGAAAAACCTTCAGGTTATTTAACAATTTGTGAGCAGCAGCACTTTGTCTTCCTGCTGTTAGCAGGAGCATTTTCTGCTTTGCAACTAACCTTCTCTACTGTAAGCTCTAGCATGGGAGTGGTTGGGTGTTCACTGAAGGTCTGAGTGGGCTGTGCTTCAGCAGGGAAACAGATGTTGGGCAGCGTAGCCTACAGTGAATCAAGTTAACTATTGTTCAGTGTTTGGTCCAACTTACTGCTGAAGATTAAAATCCTGACTTGAAGGGAGTATGGCAAAAACAGAGGTCTTCCCTCGCTGCCTGAAGAGTTCGCTAGCCCCTGTTCTGGACAGAAATGTTAGGCACTGGATAGTGAAAAGCAGGAAGTTGTGTTGCAGGAGGAGGTCGGCTAGTGCCTTTGCTTCAGTTCCTCCTCTCTGCGTTGTCCCCCAGCCATTCAAAACCAAAGACAAGAAGGAAGCACCCTACGTGCTGGAGAATGTCGACAAAGGAGGAGATGTACCAGGTCCTGGCGAACCAACGGGTGGGGTGGAGGCCCAGCAGAGCTGTGGGAGTGAGTGATGAGCCATGGGCTCAGGAGGGACTTGCTGGACTTGGAGAATGGTAGTTCACTGAGGACAAGGTTGTTTAAGGAGGTTGAAACTCTTCATAGGAACTTGTATCATCATATTTTTGAGTGCTTGGCCAGTGATGCAGCAAGGTGATATGTGAGACCAGAACGAGAGCATTGCCGTTGGGCAAGAGGCAGGACTCAAGAATAAGGATCTGAAAGAACAGCAGGAAATTTCCAGGTACCCAAGAGGATGTGGCTGAACATGTAAGTTGCTTTTTTCTATAGAATTGACTCTTGTCATGTGATCTGCTGCTGTTGGGTCAGCTGTTCATCTCACTTGGTGGGTTCCACTGGGTGATTTTTAAATGTTTTGCTATTTTTAAATGTTTTGCTTACTTTACCCTTAAGCAGCTTCTGTTTAAAAAAAAAAAAAA